CTTTAACTGTCTCTGGAAGTGAAAGCACCAGACAGTAAAGAAAGTCATACGCAGCTGTCATCCGTACGCAAGGAAGTAAGCACAAGATGCCGAAAACCCTTAGCAGGATGCAGCGCACCCTTCATGCGACTCGCCGAATATCTCACGGCGCTTCGCGCTTGGTGATGTGAGAGCCTGGTCCGGTGAGAACCCGGCGTGCTCCGTCCCGGCTTTGTAGGGATGCGAGGTCAATGGTCTAACGACTACGGCATGCAGGACTTTGAGTATGAGTACACCCCCCCCACACACACCCCCCCCGGTGTTTGCCATCGGGGTTGGGTTTTCGTCGCTTGGCAACNATACGCAAGCTCAAGCTTCTCGGTTGCCGGAAGGGAGTGACACTTGTTGAGGCAGACCATTTGTTTAAAGATGCACCGTCCCTGAACAATTTTTGATCGATTTTCTGGGAAAAATGTCCTGCGAAATAGGACATTAACGATTCGTCATTAATATTGACAGTGTAAATGTGCAGATTGAACAACAACGTAGCCGGGGGGAACGCTGATGTGTGCCTTGCAACCACTGCAGAACGTTAGGGTAATTCAGCGAAAGGTGTTGAGTCGCGCTTGACGTCACAACCGTCACGGGTGCGCTATGGTTGCCTCCAGAGCTTCAATTTCACGTCACGTGCATGCTTCCTTCTATACCTCAACCCGTCCCAATCGAAACGCCGGGTGCTGTTTTGTGCAGATGCGAAGGGAGGCGAGCGATCCCTACCACATGCGCTGCCCGGACCTCTACCCCCGCTGCACAAGGGAAGGTGAGTCTTGAGAGCCTACGCCCAGATACTCATCCCACGGAGCCCCCCCCCGCCCACACACACACACACACCCCGCCGCCATGGCCGTGTACTCCTGTTTCATGTCGATTGCCATGCACAGGGTGGGCTACGTGGCCGTGGATGTGAGCCTTTTTTTGTCTCAGCTGGGCTACTGCGTGGTGTACCTGATCTTCGTGCAGCAGAACATCGGTCCCAGCTTGAGAGAGGCGTTTCCGTCGCAGCCGGCCTGGCTTACCGGCACGATGGCGCTCATGGTTATTCAGGTGAAGGTTGGAGAGAATTGGGGCTTGGTTGTTGGTTTTGTGATGTCGTTGTTCGCTGGCAATTCTCATGGTGTCACTGTTTGGTCCGAGGCTTCCACTGTTGCAAAGCCGTGTGGTATATGGGCGTGTAGTCGCAAGCGTTTTGTTCGAATAGTTGCACGAAGGGGTTCGTCGCCCGCGTGCACAACGGTGCTGCTGCTGCCACCGACGTTGGACGGGAGCAAGCGCGGCATGATGGCGCAGTGCCGACGCCTTCGCTTGGCGTCTACTCATGCGCCATCACCGATACCTGTATCGGTAGCAAGCCGTAGTTGAGGATATGCGATGATTCAGTCATTCCTATCTTTGAAGTTAGCTCTGCAATGGTTCGATGAACGTCATTCTTACCGGCCTTCTGGCAAGTGTCAAGCAGTTCACAGCACAGAGGGCGGACCGTCTTTGCTCCGCCGCCGACGCAATAAATTCTCCTCGGGCGATTGTTGGTTTTCCACCGAGCAGGCGTGCATACAGATACCTTTGTCGTGGGTGAGACAGCTCAAGTACCTCGGAGCGGGGATGCTGATCGCGAACATTTGCGTTTTCGGAGGGCTGTTGCTAATCCTTTTCCAGGTGAGAGAAGCAGAGACATGTTGTCGTTGACCTTAATCCAGTACAAGCAAAATGGCGTGGCAATCGGATCGAAAATAAATCCCACTTCCAGCAGGGAAATAAGCATTGCCAGAATAGGTCTTTCCTTAAACGCACGAAACAGCGTACACAATAAATGAGAGAATTTCGCTTCCAGCGCTTTGTTGCTTGGGATAGTTGCTGGCCCCCGGAATCCGTCGTTGTGTCTCTGCTGGCGTGCGTTCAGAAAACGGTTGCTCCCCGTCAGACCCGTCCCACCTATGTGTCTCTCCTTGTCTCCCTCAACCCGTGGTGATAGTGCGGTCGATTGTGTCTGCGTTCCAACAGCCGCCCCCTGCCCTGGTCTGTTTGGAACGTAGAGAAGTCTTCAAGCAGTACCTAAGTGAGGCGTCTGAGGAGAGTTGGGAAAAGTACAGGGCCAAGAGAAAACAGGTGAAGGGACTAGTGAGAAAGAAGAAAAAGTGTATTTGGGACGAAGTAGTGCAGAAGGCCAACGGAGGTCTGGAGGGAAACGTCAAGCAGATGTGGGAAGGGATTAGTGGAATGGTAAAAAAGACCGCGCAAGGTGGGGATACAGGGGTCGCAACTTTGCGAGGTGTGAACGGTGGATTAGTCAGCAGTGGGAAGGGAAAAAGGGAAGTTCTAGCAGGACACTACAAGAGACTTGGAGTGCCCTCGGAGAATGAAGCTTTTGACCAAGCGTT